GTTCTCGAAAATGTGCCTTCCCAAAGTTGATTTTTTTGATCCATTTTATTGATAAATCGACAGTATGTGATCCAGGACCACCGAATTTTCAAAAAATTTTCAAAAACGCACAGGGATCCCAATATGAAAGATCTGCCGAGGCTATCTCTGTCGATGCTCCAAGTCGTATTCAGGTCCAGATCCGGCTCCACATCTAGGTAGACGTCCAGAGCTAGGATCTGGAATCAGGTTATGGCTTTCTTATCCCTAGGGTCTTAGGGTCACCCTAGTACCCAGCTCCTCTCTCAGGACCTGGAGGGTTCTCTGTTAGTCACACCGGGAATCTCATTACCAACACTCATTCAAGGCATTCATTGGGGAATTAAAGAAGGAATAGCCGTTCCAGAGGGAAAAGAGAGCAAAAAGAAATCCATTTACACGGTCGCACTAACAGAACTAACAGACACCCAATAATTATCCATCATCCAACCAGCTCAGGTCCACAAACATTAGAAACAAATCAATTTAAAGCTTTCAATCAATCCCGTGACTTCCAGGATAAACTTTTTGTTTAGACTTTTTGGATTTTAGGCACGATTTTGACATTGTTCATTGGAGTGTACTGTACACCTGAGTACAAGATCCACAAACATTAGAAACAAGTCAATTTAAAGCTTTCAATCAATCCCGTGACTTCCAGGATAAACTTATTCTTTAGACTTTTTGGATTTTTGACGACTTTGATACTGTAAATTGGAGTGTACTGTACTAAACCCTTTTCAAAGTACTGTAAAATCCATGAAAACCACTTTTTGCGGGAAATAGCCATTCCAAAGGGTCCACCATATGGTGTCCACCTTGTTTACCCCGGGTATTTAGCCCTTTGGCTATAAAATAGATACCGTATTGTTCTCTGAGACAAGATGCTCATCCTTTTCCGGCAAAAAGACGGCTAAAGAGGGATTTTCTATAGATTCTATACATCTCTGGGACCCACAAAGGGGATCGGATGTGGTGACAGCTGGGAATGGATACCCTGGCCCGGCGCTGGATTATAAATTTGTACCTGAAATTGACAAAAAAAGTTAAAACTTTAAATTCAAATTTTTTAAATTTTTACATTTTCAATAGCTTCTGTGAGTCCCAGGATTCACAGAAAAGCCATTGAAAAGCAAATTTTCTTTTGAAATTTTGTTTTTTCGTTGAGCTTCAGGAAATCTGAAGGGAGCTGGATCTGTATAAACGTCAGAAACAGCCGGAAAGCTTTGCGAAATCGATTTTCAGGGGATCTGGGTGTCATGAGAGTTTTTGAATATAATAGAAACCGAAAAATGCAAATTTTGCCGATGGCCGAGTGGTTAGTGAGCTGGGTTGCCAATCTGGGGGGTGCTGGTTCGATCCCGGTCACGGACGGTGCTTTGCATAAACTCGTTGTAACGCATTGCAGACTAATAGAGTACTGTGTTTTGCATAAGCTTCTATGAATTTATAAAAGATAAGGCTGAATTTGTACCTGAAATTGGCAAAAAAAGTTAAAACTTTAAATTCAAATTTCTTAAATTTTTACATTTTTAATAGCTTCTGTGCGTCCCAGGATTCACAAAAAAAGCCATTGAAAAGCAGATTTTCTTTTGAAATTTTGTTTTTCGTTGAGCTTCAGGAAATCTGAAGAGAGCTGGATCTGTATAAACGTCAGAAACAGCCGAAAACTTTGCGGAATCGATTTTCAGGGGATCTAGGGTGTCATGAGAGTTTTTGAAAATAATAGAAACCCAAAAATGCAAATTTTGCCGATGGCCGAGTGGTTAGTAAGCTTGGCTACCAATCTGGGGTTATCGAAATTTTTGTTTCTTTAAAAACGTTTGTTTCTTTTTCTATCCACTTTATGACGTCCAGCTTCAGCGAATAACTTATAATTTTGACGAAATTTTTATTTTTCACCGGTTTTCAGGGCTTGATTTGAGATCGCAGAAAATAAGCCAGAAATCTCAAAGATTAAACATAAATAAATAGTTAGACTTGAGTTCTGGAAGTCACGGAATACATTGCAAATAGCAGTGTCTAAAAATAGAGCAAATTCCGGATGGCCGAGTGGTTAGTGAGCTGGGTTGCCAAACTGGGGGGAAAAGGGGGAGGGGTGCTGGTTCGATCCCGGTCAGGAACGGTGCTTTGCATCAATGCTTTGTAACGCATTGCAGACTAATAGAGTACTGTGTTTTGCATAAGCTTCTATGAATTTATAAAAGATAAAGCTTTCCAGGCTCGCACGGTGGCTCGGATTGTGGCTCGGATGGTGATGAGGAGAATCATGATTGCGCGGATGAGGTGAGTAATTGGCGTGTTGCAGTTCTATAAGCGATTCGGGAATATGGGATATTAAAGCTGGGATTCTTAGCTACATTTCGGTCTTTAAAGTTTTCCGATTGGAAATATAGAAATGATTTTACAAGCGTTTGAATGAGGGCCATAATGGAATCGATTTTTGGCCATATTGGCCTCGATTTTTGGCCTTATTGGAATCGATTTTTGGACTTATTGGCCTCGGTTTTTGGGCATAATGGTATCAAAAAGCGCATTTTATCAAAAAGAGCCTTTTATGAAGCTTAATTCTTGAAATCTAGATGCACGAAGCGTTGGAGAATGGAGAGAATCAACAAGACGATGGAAATAAACTGGAAAACGAAGCAAATGCGAAAAGGAGAGGACCGAGAACGACGATTAAAGCAAAACAGGCTAGTCTTTGTTCTAGATCTTGTTCTATTCTTGTTCTATTCTTGTTCTAGATCTTGTTCTAGATCTTGTTCTAAGCTCTAGACTGATCTAAATAGATCTAAATCTTTTCCAATAGACTTTACTAGATCGTTTTTCAGCTGGAGACTCTGAAGAATGCTTTCGCTACCACGCCAAAACCAACCCGCCATGTTAGAGAGCAATTAGCGCAAGAGACAGGACTGAATATGAGAGTGATACAGGTGAGATTGAGCAATGGATTTGGATTAACTGCTGGTCACTGGTTTCGATTAGCTGCTGGTCCTAGTGAGTTCGCAGCTTTGATTATCGAGATTTGATAGTTTTAATAACTCATTGTTCTCGGCCAGGACTTGCCAGCTACTATGCTAGGACTGTTAATGAATCTCGAAGTTAACGGCTTAAGAAAAACCCGGAGAAGCTGGATATTTTGAGTTAGAAAGTTATTTTTTGCTGATCCTGGATGTCACTTGATAGAATGGAATCAAAATGAACGTTCGAAATGAAGATTTTTAAGAAATCAAGTTGCGTAACTAAACCGGAACTGTTTTAAAGAAACTGGAGCCCGTTTTCATTGAAAATCGATTTCTTTTGTTGATCCTGGATGTCACTTGGTAGAATGAAAGCAAAATGAACGTTCGAAATGGAGATTTTAAAGAAATCAAGTTGCGTAACTAAACCGGAGCTGTTTTAAAGAAACTGGAACCCGTTTTCATTGAAAATCGATTACTTTTGCCGATCCTGGATGTCACTTGATAGAATGGAATCAAAATGAACCCTTAAACCCCTTTAATCCAAACTCGAGTACTTCTCTGTACGGCTATCAGTTCAGCGCTGAATCCGGTTGACTGGCCCCACAAGTGGTACTGCCTTTTCATTCCCCTATCGTTTGAAGAGATCTCTTTTCACTGCTCCTAGCTCTAAAGACTTTAAAAGGGGTGCCGAGTTGTCCCCTTGCCGCTTTCCCCTACTCAAGAGCCCATTCCATTGCCCCGATTCAATTATAGCCGCCTCGACTCGTGTGGGTGCCCCTTCCAGTTCCCCTGGGGCCATCAACTCTCGTTCTGGAGCGCACGGGACCTATTGACGGGGTTGAGAAGTTTTTAGAAAACATTCTTGGACAGACAGACAGACATACATACAGACAGACAGACAGACAGACAAATTATCGAAATATTGAAGCGATTTTTAATCCAATACCTTCTGTGCACTCCAGCATTAAATTTACCAGCGATAAAATTTGCCTAGCACCTCAGTAAGTCAGCAGGTGGCTGTCAACTCGAGATCTCACTCAGAAACCCGGAAAAAACAATGGGGTTGAGGGAGATTTTGTCACAAAGCGTCAAGCTGGAATTCACTGCGACGATTTAGCAAAAAATTGAGCCTTAATAGTTAATTCTAAACAAAATCAACTGTCAAATCGAGATCAAGGCTAAAAAATTACCATTTATCTATAGATTTTAAATGCAAAGCGATATTTAGGGGTTCTGGATGTCATTAGACTTTTGTACATAAAAAAATGATAGTTTTTTAATGTTTTTATAATTTGCATATAATTGAATATCTAATACTACTAAATAACTGTTTTTTTTTATTTTCGGTTTTTGGGCTTTTCGGCTGGGTCGATGAGTCCTAGTGACTTCCAGAAAAGACGAATTCGATTACCGTAACCCCTTTCAGTTTGGAAAGAGCGGCTAAATGGGCTGGGTTCTCAGAGGCTCAGTCTCAGAGTCCCAGGTCCAACACAGCCCAAAGTAGAAAACAATTCCAATAATAAGTAAATAATTCCAGGTCTGGTTCCAAAACCGGCGCTCAAAGGAACGTCGCATGAAACAGTTGCGCTTCGGTGGCTATCGACCGGCAAGGAGAAGTCGTGGAGGACGAGATGATCTTGGAGACGTTTACGGGCATGGTGGGTCGCAACTTATTCAATTTTTGGGCTTCCTGGATGTCACTAGGCTGTTTAAAACCAAGAAAACTAGTGGTATTCAATGTTTATAAATTTGGGGTACTGTAGCTAAGGACGAGATGACCTTAGAGACGTTTACGGGCATGGTGGGTTGCAACTTATTCAATTTTTGAGCTTCCTGGATGTCACTAGGCTGTTTAAAATCAAGAAAACTAATGGTATTCAATGTTTTAAATTTGGGGTACTGTAGCTAAGGACGAGATGATCTTGGAGACGTTTATGGGCATGATGGGTTGAATCTTATTCAATTTTTGGGCTTCCTGGATGTCACTAGGCTGTTTAAGATCAAGAAAGTAGTGATATTCAATGTTTATAAATTTGGGGTACTGTAGTTAAGGACGAGATGATCTTGGAGACGTTTATGGGCATGATGGGTTGAATCTTATTCAATTTTTGGGCTTCCTGGATGTCACTAGGCTGTTTAAGATCAAGAAAGTAGTGATATTCAATGTTTTAAATTTGGGGTACTGTAGCTGATCCACTCTTTAAAAAGCCAAAAACCAAAATTTGTAGAATCTTTGAAATTTCGTTTTTAATCTCTCGTGTGACATCCAGATTTCACGAAAAAAAGCTTTTTACGGCTGTCGGCCGTTTCTTTTCGCCGTTTTTTTCAAGGGGAATTGATGAAACCAATCGACTGCCCAATCCACCGTATGCAAATGAATGAGGCTGAAGAGGGGATGGCTTTTCGGGATGGCATGGCACTATGGAGTGCACAGGGGTCACCGGGCAAAAGAAGATCCATCTATTACCGCCTTTTTTCGATTAGCTGAAGATAAGCCTCGAAGTCTTAAGGCTTAAGGAAAACCCTGGAGCTGGAGGAAAGGGAAGCTGGATATTTTGGATTAAAGAGAATTTTGGTGGGCATCCTGGAGGGCACTTGGCAGAAAAGCTGCTTCACTTTTCTTTAAAACAGTAAAATGAACTTCAAGAAGGAGATTTTTAAGGAGTCAAAAGCGTAAGGAGGAGCGTAACTAAACCGGAGTTGTTTTAGAGAAACTGGAGCCCGTTTTCATTGAAAATCGATTTCTTTTGTTGATCCTGGATATCACTTGATAGAATTGAATCAAAATGAACGTTCGAAATGGAGATTTTTAAAAAGTCAAGTTGCGTAACTAAACCGGAGTTGTTTTAAAGAAAACTGGAGGACTTTTTCGGATAAAAAGTTATTTTTTGCTAATCCTGGGTGTCACTTGGTAGAATTAAATCAAAAGAAACTTTCAAAATCGAAATTTTGAAGAAGTCAAGTTGCGTAACTAAACCGGAGCTGTTTTAAAGAAACTGAAGCCCGTTTTCATTGAAAATCGATTTCTTTTGCTGATCCTGGATGTCACTTGATAGAATGGAATCAAAAGGAGCTTTTAAAATCGAAATTTTAAAGAAGTCAAGTTGCGCAACTAAACCGGAGCTGTTTTAAAGAAAAGTGGAGCAGCTTTCCGGATAAAAAGTTATTTTTTGTTGATTCTGGATGTCACTTGGTAGAATTGAATCAAAATGAACGTTCGAAATGGAGATTTTAAAGAAATCAAGTTGCGTAACTGAACCAGAGCTGTTTTAAAGCAGCTGGAGCCCGTTTTCAATGAAAATCGATTTCTTTTGTTGATCCTGGATGTCACTGGGTAGAATGGAATCAAAACGAACTTTTCAAATGGAGATTTTAAGAAGTCAAGTTGCGTAACTAAACCGGAGCTGTTTTAGAGAAAACTGGAGGACCTTTTCGGATAAAAGGTTATTTTTGGCTGATCCTGGATGTCACTTGATAGAATTGAATCAAAAGAAACTCTCAAAATCGAAATTTTAAGAAATCAAGTTGCGTAACTAAACCGGAGTTGTTTTAAAGAAAACTGGAGCGCCTTTTCACTAAAAATCAGTTTTTTTGCTGATCCTGGATATCAGGCTTGAGAATGACATCATTTTTTCCATAAAATTCTCCGTCTTTTAGATGGTGCCTTTTTCGCTGCTGCACCGATGGGCTTTTATTGTGGAGACATCTATGCGAGTGCTGGCGATCGACCGCCATTGCATCCACCATTTCCGATTGGACCCGACGGGACACCATTGATAGTGACGCCAAGTGAGTTATTCTGTGTCCAAGCCAGGGGCCAGGGCCAGGGCCAGGGGCCAAGGCCAAGGTTCAGGGCCAGGGTCCCCTTCACAAAATTTTGAAAACAAGCCAATTTATCGATTGAAATGAATTACATGAGTTCCAGGATTCACTCTTTATTTATCGTTTTTCATTTTTAAATGGGAAATCGAGGTGAAAAGGAGTTCGACGAGAAGCTTGATACAAGATTGGGCTTATATATTGATAGATATAACATCTACAGATTCGAGATTTCAATTTTTGAGCATCCTGGAACGCACAGTAGCTAATCTAATAAAAGCTTTGGGTCAAAGACTAATTAGTATATAGTACGTATGTAGGTACATAGTACAGTACCGTACTACCATATCAAATTATCAAATTTTTAGTGACCGAGGGTGGGCTGTCCGAGTGCTCGTCGCCGACCCTGGGTGGACCCGGGGCAGGCCTGCTGGGCCCTCCAACCGGGGACTACGGTGATGACCCCCACGCTCCGTTCCGAGAGCTCCCCTCACTCTATTATGCACACAATCCACCAATTCAATAATTCTCAATCACTCGTGTGACATCCATAACCATCAAATTTTTTGTCGTCGTCTTATTCTCGACCCTTTCTCGTCATTAATTCAACCAGTCCTAAAACTCGTTCAAGTGATTTTTTATTTTTTGTTTTTTCGATGTTTTCTCGTTTTCTAAATGTCCAGTGCGTTCCAGATCTAAAGATTTTCGCAAAATTTTCTCAAATTTTCGATTTTAGAAAGCTACAAACAGTCCAGTGTCCGAATTTTTTGCGATGTCGCATTTATTTCACTTGATTTTAACGATTGAATTTTGATTTTCGCAAATTTTCTCATTCTGGCACTCATCAAAACTTTATCTTCGACCAAAGATGCGAATTCGTGAATGCAAATTTGTTGCAATTTAAATGCAAATTTAATGCAATTTAAATGCAAATTTCATTCAATTTAAATCCTAATTTGATTCAATTTAAATGCAAATTTGATCAATTTAAATGCAAATTTGATCAATTTAAATGCAAATTTGACGCAGTTTAAATGCAAATTTTGTTGATATTCAAATTTCTAGTATCTATTCCAGTCACTCCAATTTCAAGATATTCAGTCAATTTCTCCATTCTCGGGCCATGTGATATCCAGATCGAAGCCTAAGCTTTAAAAAAAGACATAATCCCAATTTACATATTTGACAAAATCGTTGCATATCGTTTCGCTGTACTTGCCAATTTTTTTTTATTGAAATCAATTAATTATAAAGCTTTATTTCATCGAAGTGACATCCAGAACCAACAAAAATTTGCAAAATTTGGTTTTTAGAGCCACTAGAGACGATTTTTTGACGAGATCGAGTTGCGAATTCAATCTCGTCGAAAAATGCGTCTATACGGCGTCTATACGGCGTCTATACGGCCGTGGCGTATATAAGGCGGCCGCATCTGTTCAAGGCGGCCGGGCGTATATAAGGCGATCGCACGTATATAAGGCAGCCGAACGTATATAGGGCGGCCGGGCATATATAAGGCGGCCGAGCGTATATAAGGCGGCCGAGCGTATATAAGGCTCTGCGTATGTAAGGCCGGCGTCTATACGGCCGGGGCGTATATAAGGCGGCCGCGTCTGTTTAAGGCGGCCGGGCGTATATAAGGCAGCCGAGCGTATATAAGGCAGCCGAGCGTATATAAAGCGGCCGGGCGTCTATAAGGCAGCCGGGCGTATATAAGGCGACCGTGTATATAAGGTGGTGCGTAGAGTGCCATAGAAAAACAGGGCACATCCAGACAAATTCACGGTAGAGCTGAACAGATTTTGGGGGGCTAAAGTTCTTGAAAGTTCAGAATGATAAAGCTTTATTTAATCGAAGTGACCTCCAGAAACTACAAAAATTACGAAATTATCAATTGTAGAAGCACTAGAAAAGAGTTTTTGGATGAGAACGAGTTCTCAGCTCTGGTACCTCTTCCAGTCACTCCCATGTCAAGATATTCAGTCAATTTCTCCATTCTCGGGCCATGTGATATCCAGATCGAAGCCTAAGCTTTAAAAAAAGACATAATCCCAATTTACATATTAGCCAAAATCGTTGCATATCGTTTCGCTGTACTTGCCAATTTTTTTTTTTGAAATCAATTAATTATAAAGCTTTATTTCATCGAATTGACATCCAGAACCACCAAAAATTTGCAAAATTTGATTTTTAAAGCCACTAGAGAAGAGTTTTGGAGGAGATCGAGTTCTCAATTGATTCTCCAAGAAAATGGTGTAAATTTAAAAAAATAGTCAACTTTTCTCGTAAACTGGAACGCATTTTAGGTATAGGACTGGTCCTTTGGGTATTCGCATCAAATTCCCATCTGTCACCAACGTTTAATTCAAGGTGTCATCTAGAGGAGACAAGAGAGGTCAAAAATTTGCATTCATCAACAGGTTGTCGTTTTTTTTGATGGGAATTGACTGAATGAAGCTTAAATTAAGGGAAAAGAGCTCTAGATGAAAGAAAGAAAGAAAGGAAGAAAGGAAGAAAGCAAGAAAAAATTGTAGATACCTTCAAGACCAAGAAGGTAATTCTTAGCCAGGTCCAACTGTCCAAGCCAGGTCCAACCAGATCCTATGTTGGGGATCTAACCTCGAGTTCCCAAGGTCTTTGTGCCTAAATTTAAAAACTAGAAGAACAGAGCCACATCGTACTTGCGAGTTTGTCTGAACTCCACATCGTTATTGCGAATTTGTCTGAACTCTGAACTTTGTCTGAACTTAAACGCTTTAAAGCGTGATCCAGCTCGAAATCTCTTGCCTTTATAATAACCCAACTAGTCCATTTAGTAACCCAACTAGTCCAAAAGACACTTTCGATCAACGCTGTCGATCAAAAACTCATCGACAATCTGGTTTTAAGCATGGACAACGAGTTCGGGAGGCTCAATTGATTGTTGATCTGTTTGGGAGGTTCAACTGATTTGTTCAGGAGGTCCAACTGATTTGTTCGGGAAGTCCAACTGATCTGTTCAGGAGGTCTAACTGATCTGTTTGGGAGGTCCAACTGATCTGTTCAAGAGATCCAACTGATCTGTTCAAGAGGTCCAACTGATCTGTTCAAGAGGTCCAACTGATCTGTTCAAGAGGTCCAACTGATCTGTTCAAGAGGTCCAACTGATCTGTTCAAGAGGTCCAACTGATCTGTTCAAGAGGTCCAACTGATCTGTTCAAGAGGTCCAACTGATCTGTTCAAGAGGTCCAACTGATCTGTTCAAGAGGTCCAACTGATCTGTTCAAGAGGTCCAACTGATCTGTTCAAGAGGTCCAACTGATCTGTTCAGGAGGTCTAACTGATCTGTTCAAGAGGTCCAACTGATCTGTTCAAGAGGTCCAACTGATCTGTTCAAGAGGTCCAATTGATCTGTTTGGGAGGTCCAACTGATCTGTTCAAGAGGTCCAACTGATCTGTTCAAGAGATCCAACTGATCTGTTCAAGAGATCCAACTGATCTGTTCAAGAGGTGCAATTGATCTGTTCGAGAGGCCCAATTGGTTATAGATCTGTTCAAGAGGTCCAATTGATCATTGATCTGTTTGGGAGGCTCTTATTCAGAATTGATTATTCATTTGCTATTTGGAAAGCTTAGTTTACTTGTTTTGCCTTTTAAGGAATCAGCTTCTCGATAAAGAAAAAGGGATGATCGAAGCAATGAATCAAGTTGAGGACAGCTATCGGCTACAGCTTTAAATTGGCCGTCCACAGCAATTGATCGATGGAGTCAAAATTGTTTTGAATGTAATTCTTAGGCCAGGCTAGATCAGCTTAGCTTCTGATTTGGCTTTGCTGGGCTACAAGAGTTCCTAAACCCGCTAGCAGACATCCTCTCAGTTTTAGCCTGGCCTACCTCTCGGCCTGCCTACCTATCCAGCCTTAAAACCAAATCCAGCTAACAAATAAGCTGATCCAACTTTTCTAAACATCTCCTTTCCAATTTCTAGCCATGAAAGAAACCCCGAAATTTACAGATCGGCTCAAGGGCAGCTGGATGGACTTTAGGATAAAAAACGAGTGATCAATTCAATACTGGATCCCTTTTTTAAGCCTCGATCCCTATCCAGCTATCTCTTTGATCCATCTTGTACCCTTTCTCTTCACCTTTCCCCTCCCCTCAATCGCCTCTTTTCATGTAAATCCACCGCCCGACCCTTCTCTTCGCCTCTTCGCCTCTTCCCCCTCACTTATTTGCATATTTGGGCAATAGATTCCACTTTTTTTCTCAATTTTTGGCGGATCTGGATGTCAGAGAAGGGAATAAAAAGATTTTTAAGAAAATAAATTAATTTTAGAAAAAAATATTTTGGATCTATTGGGTTGATGGAAAATTTCGATTTTTTGGGAGAATACATTTGTCCAATTTAGACCTTTTATAGCTCATCCTAAAGCTGAATTCAAGACGGATCGATTGGTAAAAACCGTTTTGAGATATCTCTTTTCTAAAAGTTTTTACAGCTATTTTAGTAAAGGGCCGCAGAGCCAAAAAAGCCAAAAAATGGCTGTTTTCACGTTTCGTTAGTTTTCCGTGCAGAAAACCTAGGCTAAAAACCTGTTTTTCGTGATCAGCGTCCAAAATAACCCCTAGACACGCATTTTCAGAATCTTAGCAAAAAATTTTTGAAAAATATTGTCACCGGTGGGAGTCGAACCAGCGACCCTCAGATCAATAGCCTTTCCGCCGGATTTTCGCGATTTTCCTTCGTTTTTTTCTCGTGAAAATGCGTGTCTAGGGGTTATTTTGGACGCTGATCACGAAAAACATGTTTTTAGCCTAGGTTTCTGCACGAAAAGTCAACGAAACGTGAAAACAGTCATTTTTTGGCACTTTTTTGCGCCGCCCTTTACTAAAATAGCTGTAAAAACTTTTCGAAAAGAGATATCTCAAAACGGTTTTTACCAATCGATCCGTCTTGAATTCAGCTTTAAGATGAGCTATAAAAGGTCTAAATTCGACAAATTTAAGGTACTCTCCCAAAAAATCTAAAATCTAAATCTAAAATCTTCCTCTTGATGACCAATTACCAGCTGAGAGCCATTAAGAATGGGGTAAAGAGGTCAATATTGTGATTAGGCTGAGGGGGACTTTGGTTGGGGCTGGGCCTGGGCCCTCAATTCCCCTATAATCGCCTCCGAAACGGTGCTCAAGGTACTCAGCGCTCGCGTTGCGCAATATTGGACGACTTTTCGATCGTTGAATGGGCTCTGGCAGCTGCGATTTTTGATTATTAGAGGAATTAGGGGAAAGTCGAGAGTTTAGCAGTTCATGGACGATCTAAACAACTCAACAAATGAATATTTTAAGGCTTCTACATTTTAAACTAATACAAATACCTAAAAGACCAATTCTATACCTAAAATGCGTTCCAGATTACGGGAAAAGTTGACTATTTTTTAAAATTTACACCATTTTCTTGGAGAATCAGTTGAGAACTCGATCTCCTCCAAAACTCTTCTCTAGTGGCTCTAAAAACCAAATTTTGCAAATTTTTGTTGGTTCTGGATGTCACTTCGATGAAATAAAGCTTTATAATTCATTGATTTCAATAAAAAAAAATTGGCAAGTACAGCGAAACGATATGCAACGATTTTGGCTAATATGTAAATTGGGATTATGTCTTTTTTTAAAGCTTAGGCTTCGATCTGGATATCACATGGCCCGAGAATGGAGAAATTGACTGAATATCTTGAAATGGGAGTGACTGGAAGAGGTACCAGAGCTGAGAACTCGTTCTCATCCAAAAACTCTTTTCTAGTGCTTCTACAATTGATAATTTCGTAATTTTTGTAGTTTCTGGAGGTCACTTCGATTAAATAAAGCTTTATCATTCTGAACTTTCAAGAACTTTATCCTCCTAAATCTGTTCAGCTCTACCGTGACTTTGTCTGGATGTGCCCTGTTTTGTTAATCTACGAACCACCTTATATACGCGGTCGCCTTATATACACGGGGCCACCTTATATACGCCCGGCCGCCTTATATACGCCCCGGCCGTATAGACGCCGGCCTTACATACGCGGAGCCTTATATACGAGCCTCCTAAATCTGTTCAGCTCTACCGTGAATTTGTCTGGATGTGCCCTGTTTTGCTAAGGGTAACCGACGCACCACCTTATATACGCGGTCGCCTTATATACGCTTGGTCGCTTTATATAAGCTTGGTCGCTTTATATACGGGGTCGCCTTATATACGCTTGGCCGCTTTATATACGGGGTCGCCTTATATACGCTTGGCCGCTTTATATACGGGGTCGCCTTATATACGCTTGGCCGCTTTATATACGGGGTCGCCTTATATACGGGGTCGCCTTATATACGCTTGGCCGCTTTATATACGGGGTCGCCTTATATACGCTTGGCCGCTTTATATAAGCTTGGTCGCTTGATATACACGTTCGCCTTATATACACGTTCGCCTTATATACACGTTCGCCTTATATACGCTTGGCCGCTTTATATACGCCCACCGCTTTATATACGCGCCGGTCGTATATAGACGCCGGCCTTATATACGCGCCTCCTAAATCTGTTCAGCTCTACCGGAAATTTGTCTGGATTCGCGCCTGTTTTTGCATGATAGTCTGTTCCGTTAGTTTTGTCTGTTTTGGCATGATAGTCTGTTCCGTTAGTAGTCTGGCTGGGCCAAGTAGCCCGGCCTCACATTTTTACTAATCATTTGCTTTTCGTAAAGTAACAAAACGAAGTTTATTGCCGAAATTGGTGCATAAAATTAGAAAAGAAAAAACAGAAAAAAAACAGAAAAATACAAAGAGATTGGTGCATAAAAATATAAAAATCGGAAAAAAAAAAGGAAAAAAGACCCTGTCTACAAAGTGAGCTTTTTGCTAAAGTCTTTTCTAAAGTTTGGCAACTCAACAACTCAATGAGAACAAAGAAACACAAAGAGATTTGTCTTTGGAATGGATTTCGATAAGAATTAGAGATAAGATATATAAGAATATTAAAGAAAAAAAAGACATTAAGAAAAAAGATATTTAGGGTAATGATTGTGTCAAATACTACAAATACAAAGATTTTATCAGAGATTTAACTAGTAAAAGAGTGCTGTAGCAATCCTAGAGCCATATCTGGATAAAGCTTTTCTCCTGGATTCAATTTAGATTCAATAGGGGTACTGCAGTTTTGATGAATTCCTGTAAAATACTGAATCCTGGATATTGTATGCTTTAAAAGAGTACCTTACCGTAAAATTGTTGAAATTTTGAGAAAATCTTTAGATCTGGAGCGCACTGGACATTTAGGAAGCGAGAAAACATGAAAATGGCAAAAAATAAAAAATTAGTCGGACGAGTTTCAGGACTGGTGGAATTAATGACGGAAAAGGGTCGAGAATAAGACAAAGACGAAAAATTTGATGGTTATGGATGTCACACGAATGATTGAGAGTTATTGAATGGGTGGATTGTGTGAAATAAATACGACATCGCAAAAAATCCGGAGATTGGGCTTTGGTAGTTTTCTAAAATCGAAAATTTGAGAAAATTTTGAGAAAATCTTTACATCTGGAGCGCACTAGACATTTAGGAAACGAGAAAAATGAAAATGGCAAAAAATAAAAAATTAGTCGGACGAGTTTCAGGACTGGTGGAATTTATGACGGGAAAGGGTCGAGAATAAGACAAAGACAAAAAATTTGATGGTTATGGATGTCACACGGATGATTGGGAGCTAGTGAATTGGTGGATTATGTGAAATAGGTGCGACATGGCAAAACATTCAGAGACTGGGCTTTTGTAGATTTCAAAAATCTTAAAATTTTAGAAAATTTTAAGAAAATCTTTAGATCTGGAGCGCACTAGACATTTAGGAAATGAGAAAAAATGAAAATGGCAAAAAATAAAAAATCATTTGGACGAGTTTTAGGACTGATGGAATTAGTGACGGGAAATGGTCGAGAATAAAACAAAGACAAAAAATTTGATGGTTATGGGTGTCACACGGATGATTGAGACCAAAGAGATAAAGAACAAAGAGAAACAACAAAAAATAAAAAATTAGTCGGACGAGTTTCAGGACTGGTGAGATTAATGACGGGTAAGGGTCGAGAATAAGACAAAGACAAAAAAATTTGATGGTTATGGGTGTCACACGGATGATTGAGAGCCTAGACTTGATGTTGTGATGTGATGTGGTTTTGTTTACTGGATAAGCTACCGTATCCTCTCACTGAATCCTGGCGATTATGTGCTCGGTTGCTGGCAGGATATTAGCCCTCGGGGTGGTCGGATAACTCAAATGAATTGGTTGATTGGATTGGAGATGTGTCATTGTTGGCATTGGGACGAGGGTGTACACGGAATTCGAGGGAATCGAGGGAATTGATGGAATTGATGGAATCGTTGTGATCTGGGGGACAACTTGTGGAACTGGTGCAGGGAATTGATGGAGTGGAGTGCTGGCGGGGATCTGGAAATTGATTGGCTCAGAAATCTAGTATATATAAAAAAGCGGTGTCTGTCTGTCTCTCTGTCTGTCTGCCTGCCTGTCTGCCTGTCAAAAGTCAAAATTGAGGCGCAAAATTGCCACTGGGGGTCGAAATGGGGGTCGAACCCGCATGGTGTGAGCCGTAGACAAGCACGCTCCACACTGCGCCTTCTGGAACGGCCAGCCAGTGACAAGCCAGCCAGAAAAGCGTCAGCCAGAAAAACCCGCGGAAAAGCGGTTTTTTGGCTGGTTTAGCTTATAACTGGCATACGGTAGCTGTAGCTGTAAACTGGTACGGGACAGTACTATGCCATGTACTACGGCATATCGAGTACAACTGTTTCAATGAAAATCAAAATCTGGATGTTAGCAAATCTAGTGTGATATCCAGATCGAAGAAAAAACGCAACTAAAAGCTAGTCGCTCTTGTCAATTTCTCGGAATAGTCGCAAACTCTCGACAGTGCATATCGAGTACAACTATTTCAATGAAAATCAAAATCTGGATGCTAGCAATTCTAGTGTGATATCCAGATCGAAGAAAAAACGAAATTAAAAGACAATTGCTCTTGTCAATTTCTCGGAATAGTCGCAAACTCTCGACGGTGCATATCGAGTACAACTATTTCAATGAAAATCAAAATCTGGATGCTAGCAATTCTAGTGTGATATCCAGATCAAAGAAAAAACGCAACTAAAAGCTAGTCGCTCTTGTCAATTTCTCGGAATAGTCGCAAACTCTTTGCAGTCCACTCTTTGACAAATATTTTGATAAAAATCAAAATCCGAACCCTAAGATATCTAGTGTGACATCCAGATAGAAGAAAAAACGCAATTTAAAGGAAATCGCTCTTGCCAATCTTTTAGAATCATCGCAAACTCTCGACGGTGCATATCGAGTACAACTGTTTCAAGGAAAATCAAAATCTGGATGCTAGCAATTCTAGTGTGATATCCAGATCGAAGAAAAAACGCCATTAAAATAAAACAGCTCTTGTCAATTTCTCGGAATAGTCGCAAACTCTTGGCAGTCCACTCTCTGCAGTTCAACGACAGCTATGAAGAGCTCAACAAGTTAACACATGCATAAACCCAAAGAAAACAAAAATTCAGGCTGCCAAAGTTTTTTTGGCTAACATGCGCTTAAGTCTATATTGTGGGCTGTTTATAACTGTCGTTGAACTGCAGAGAGTGGACTGCCAAGAGTTTGCGACTATTCCGGAAAATTGACAAGAGCTGTTTTATTTTAATGGGTTTTTTTCTTCGATCTGGATATCACACTAGAATTCTTAGGGTTCAGATTTTGATTTTCACCTAAATATTTGTCAGAGTGTGGACTGCTAAGAGTTTGCGACTATTCCGGAAAATTGACAAGAGCGATTGTCTTTTAGTTGCGTTTTTTCTTCGATCTGGATGTCACACTAGAATTCTCAGGATCCAGATTTTGATTTTCCTTGAAAGAGTTGTACTCGATATGCACTGTCGAGAGTTTGCGACTATTCCGGAAAATTGACAAGAGCAATTGTCTTTTAAATCCGTTTTTTCTTCGATCTGGATATCACACTAGATATCTTAGGGTTTGGATTTTGATTTTTATCAAAATTTTTTGCCTTACCGTGTTCTCGCATTATCCAGTACAGTACTTTGTTAAACTGTACTGAACGATACAGTAACGCAGTACAGTATTTAATAGACGTACAGTACTTAATGGAGTACTGTACTTAATAGACGTACAGTACTTAATGGAGTACTGTACTTAATAGACGTACAGTACTTAATGGAGTACTGTACTTAATGGAGGTACAGTACTTAATGGACGTACTGTACTCCGTACTGTACTGGAGTACAGTACTTAATGGACGTATTGTACCGTGCGAGTACTTAAACCGTACCGTGCCTAGCCACTACTTTGGATTCCGTCTACCTTTCGCGTCTAGTAGTACTGTATTGTACATCGTACGTCTAGTAGTACTGTATTGTACAGTACTCAGCTACCGTACGCTATTGTACGACATAATATTACCGTACACTCAGCTACCGTACGCTATTGTACACCATTATTTCATTTAAATCGTTTCCCGACTTTATTCTTTTGAAAAAGAGAAATTGAGAAAGAATCTAGTGTACCAGAAAGGATTCGTTTACAAAAAAGAAAAAGAACCTGCAAGAGCATCGGCTGAAGGGGAACTGGTTGACAAGTGGCACAGGATTGCTGGAGTTGATGCTGGTGTTGATGCTGGAGTTGATGCTGGAGTTGATGCTGGTGTTGTTGTCCAGTTTGAATGATATGAAGCTCTTGAACGGGTGTGGAATGCGGTTGTTGAAGCTGCTGCTGCTGGAGTTGGAGCTGCGACAGATTCGGGTAGATATTCTGTATTTGTGGCTGTTGTTGTGGTGGGGTGACTGGTGGAGCTGACGGCATTGCACGGGGTACAGGCTGGACTGGAGCTGGAGCTGGAGCTAGAGCTAGAGCTGGAGCTGGAGCTGGAGCTGGAGCTAGAGCTGGAGCCGTAACCGGAGCCGGGACCTGGGTCTGCACCGGCGCAGCTACCATAACCCCTGTCGGCCTTTGCATGCCCTGTGCCATTTCTTGCTGTCCTTGCCCGTCCTGCGCTCCAGCTAGCATCAACACGGTGCCAGAAGTGAGCTAAACATATTTCTCCTTGATAAATTGATGTGATCAGGAATCAAGCTAATAAAGCTGCTCACAGTATTCAAATTCAGATTTTAACTAGAAAATCGTTAATCTTGGAGGTCATGCTATGAACATTAGCATTTAAAGTAATAGCTAGCCGTTACAGTAACTTAACTGGATATAAGACGTAACCTACAGTACTCCCTACAGTAGACTACGGTATTCCAATTCAGATTTTAACCAGAAAATCGTTAATCCTGGAGGTCACACTATGGAAATTAGCATTTAAAGTAATAGCTAACCGTTACAGTAAGCTAACGGAATTTAGGACGAAATCTGTAGTACACCCTACAGTAGGCTACAGTATTCAAATTCAGATTTTAACTAGGAAATCGTTAATCCTGGATGTCACACTATAGAAATTTGCATTTAAAGTAATAGCTAACCGTTAGAGTAAGCTAACTGAATTTAAGACGTAACCTACAGTACTCGCTACAGTAGGCTACAGTATTCCAATTCAAATTTTAACTAGAAAATCGTTAATCCTGGATGTCACACTATAGAAATTTGCATTTAAAGTAATAGCTAGCCGTTACAGTAAGCTAACTGAATTTAAGACGTAACCTACAGTATTCCCTTGGCTACAATACCCTTCTACAGCTGGCTACAGTATTCCTTAGCTATCTTATACCCACCGCATTCGCTTTCTTTTCCCTCCAGCGACAGCAGAAAATAATCCGGCGGAATGGTGGCAGAAGAATGAAGCATCCCAGAAAGAAAACGATGTGAAAAGCCTCGTGAAGAACAGGCAGCTGAAAGACAGCCAAATGAACTACAGTACTTAGAAATAAGTAGAAATGAAAATCCTCTGCAAAACGAACTAACTAACCCAATACCGAAGATACCAAAGAAAGAAATTCCCGCTGGGCGAGTAGATGAAGTAGGAATCGCTGTAGAAAGTCGAACGCCAACTGGAAATTGAGCTGTGAGCTCCAGGATGGAGAAATTTTAAGTAGTTTGGGGTTTATAGATGTACTCTTGATGAGATATGGGCTCAAACTCACGCGAGGAAACGATAGTCGAAGATCCATTTGCCGTACATCAATGCCTCGACTAGGCGACAAACGGAGAGACCTGGAATGCTTGATTTACTCAGGGATACTGTAGCCTGGGGAAGGTATACGGTACGGTAAGAAGAACGGCTAAGGGTATACTGTAGGTTACGTCTTAAATTCAGTTAGCTTACTGTAACGGCTAGCTATTACTTTAAATGCTAATTTCTGTAGTGTGACCTCCAGGATTAACGATTTTCTAGTTAAAATTTGAATTGGAATACTGTAGCCTACTGTAACGAGTACTGTAGGTTACGTCTTAAATTCAGTTAGCTTACTGTAACGTCTAGCTATTACTTTAAATGCAAATTTCTATAGTGTGACATCCAGGATTAACGATTTTCTAGTTAAAATTTGAATTGGAATACTGTAGCCTACTGTAGGGTGTACTACAGATTTCGTCCTAAATTCAGTTAGCTTACTGTAACGGCTAGCTATTACTTTAAATGCTAATTTCTATAGTGTGACATCCAGGATTAACGATTTTCTAGTTAAAATCTGGATTGGAATACTGTAGCATGTTGTAGGGTGTACTAGAAGCTACGTCTTAAATTCAGTTAGCTTACTGTAACGGCTAGCTATTACTTTAAATGCTAATTTCTATAGTGTGACCTCCAGGATAAGCATTTCGGGTACTTTAAACTCACACAGCGATGGCACTAATGGCACGGTGGCAAAGAGAATGAAAATGACGGTCCAGAGCAGCCGCCGCTTTGCATATTTCACCGTATGCGATTGGTCTTGTTTCGGTGACGTTTTTCGACCACAACAACACATGCAGGGCGCCTAGAATCTTGGATATTTTAGCTAGCCTGTTTACTGTTGTCAATAGTACTGTAATGTTTGTAATATCCACGCGAAAAACCCGGTTAACGGCGGGTTTTCCTGGCTGGTTTGCTGGCGGGTTTGGTCGTCGTGGCGCTGTGGGGAGCGCGCTTGTCTACGGCCCAAATGATCCGGGTTCGACCCACGGCTGGGCCATGACTTTTTCTTCTTAAAAGAACAGAATTACATCGAATTCTAAGCCTAACAAACTAAAAATCAGGGAGCCGAGACTACAGAAAAACGGACGGACGATTACAGATGAATAGTAGTTAGCTAAACATCGAAAAGCCATCGAATGGAGTCTAAAAGATCTAAAATCCATTCCTCTACCTAATATTTCATTTAATTTCATCATTTTTACTATATTTCAGAATTTCGGAGCGCCTTCCGGGATCGAACCCGGGAGGCGCAAGCCCCGATCGCCTGCCACCAGCCCTCCTAACCGACTGCGCCACGCTGGACCCCTGAATTTTTTCATCCAAATAAATTGATTTTTTCAAAATTATTTCTTGTGACTTCCAGATTGCACAATTCACTACGATTTTTCGTTAGTCATTTGTAGAAAACGTAAAAATTCGATGTAAAGTCGAAACGAGCCAAGAATTTTGCCCAATTCTGCACAATTGAGTCAATTCTTTCAAAAGTATCTCTCGTGACTTCCAGATTGCACAATCCATTACGATTTTTCGTTAGTCAATTGTAGAAATCGCGAAAAATTGGTCTCAACTCGAAACGAGCCAAGAATTATGCGCAATTTGGCGCAAGTGAGTCGATTCTTTCAAAAATATTTCTTGTGACTTCCAGATTGCACAATGCACTACGATTTTTTATTAGTCATTTGTAGAAATCGCAAAAAATTGGCCTCAACTCGAAACGACCAAAAATTATGCCCAATTCTGCACAATTGAGTCGATTCTTTCAAAAGTATCTTTTGTGACTTCCAGATTGCACAACCGATCACTATTTTTCATCGGTCATTTGTAGAAATCGCAAAAAATCGGTCTCAACTCGAAACGAGCCAAGAATTCTGCGCAATTTGGCGCAATTGAGTCGATTCTTTCGAAAGTATCTCTTGTGACTTCCAGATTGCACAACCGATCACTATTTTCCGGCGACCTTTTGTCACTTTATCACTGTACTCACCACAATCACCAGTGTGACTATCAAAAAGCCGGCGATAGCCATAAACGAGTGCCCAGCGAGTGTGACGATCGCCCAGAAGGAGGTGACGAAAGTGCCTTGCAAACAAACGTACATTGAAATGGCGATGAAGGAGGTGAGGAGAATGATCGGGATGTAGAAAAGGCTGAAATGAGGTTGGATACAGTAGGCTTTAGGAAATATGGAAATTTTTGAAATCTAACGTTTGCAAAGCCTACTGTGACATCCAGATTGCCGAATGCAACGCTCAGAAAAATTTCCAAGCCTTTCAAAAACCGAGATTTTTCGGTGAACTCGAATCGACTCCGAAAAAGAGAAAATTCAAAAAGAACACTATTTTTTTTTAAAGATTTAGCCATCCTGGAACGCACAATTCAAGAAAAAAGTGAAAAAAGACATAATTTCGTGCACTAGGTGGCTTGTGTTTATGCTGGGGTAAACACAAAGAGAATGCACACTCAAAAACTTAAATATGCAAATCTTTGAAATCTAACCTTTGCAAAGCCTACTGTGACATCCAGATCAAACAGAAAAATGATCTGGACCCGCAAAAGTTGGGGAAAAGTGAGAAAATGATGGTGGGAAAAGTTCTATCAGTCGAGGCATTGCCGTAATCACTTTTCTGCGGATTACCAGACAGTAGATAGACAGTAGATTCACGTTACAGTAAACCGGGTGCGTAGAAACTCTATAGTACTACTTCTAACAGCTAATAATGCCCGCTACAGAAAGCCTTTGTAGTATAAGTTTGCCGTATTCTAACACTTAACAACGGAAAGCGACAGCAACATGAGCTAAGCCATATACCATTCGACGCAGAATTTCACGCTGGTTCCGAATCTGCTTTCTGTTTTTGCTATGGAGCACTCTGTGAAAAGATAGACGTGTTTTAAGTTGTTACAAAAATGCCAAGTTTGAACTAAAAAAAGTTTGAAAAAAATTAAAACACAGTTCAAACTTGGCATTTTTCAAAACTTAAAACACGTATATCTTTTCGCAGAGTGCTCCATATCAAAAACGGAAAGCAGATTCGAAATCAGCGTGAAATTCTGCGTCGAATGGTATATGGCTTAGCTCATGTTGCCGTTGCTTATCTAGTTCAAACTTGGCATTTTTGCAAAACTTAAAACACGGCTATCTTTTCACAGAGTGCTCCATATCAAAAACGAAAAGCAGATTCGGAATCAGCGTGAGATTCTGCGTCGAATGGCCCATGGCTCATGGCAAATGGCCCATGGCCGTACCAGGCACTCACCCGATTCCCCCGCATTTCTCCCGTCTCTCAACCACTCCAATCGCTGACATCATATAGAAAGCATTTGTGCCAAAAAAAGATCATCGGAGCCATCATTTGCAGAAGTGATGTCACGGAGGCAAGGAAGGTGTAGCTGAAATGTAGCTAATGAAGAAAGGGAACATTGGGGTTCTCGATTGGTACACGCACTAATGGAGACGAGGATTTGAAAGGATTTTGATTCAAAAGACGAAAGGATTTGAGTCATTTTGGGATAGGAACTCTGGAGGAGGTTGTGCTAGGGGCTGGAGTGGGTTTGGTGCTGGCTGGCTGGCTCATTGCCTGGCTGGCTCATTGCCTGGCTGGCTCATTGCCTGGCTGATAAGTCGATCCACAGTTCGTTTCGAATCGAATGGCTGTTTTGAACACCGGCCTTAGAATGTTTTGTACACCTCTCTGCTTCTTTTTCTCTCAAAATCTCAAAGTAAATTACGAATTTGAGCAAACTAGCATTTACAAAGCATTGCTAGTGCTCACAAAGCAATGCTAGCGCTCACAAAGCCAATCATACAAAGCAATGGATTGCATTGGCTAAGTCGATGAGTCTATTGGTTTGGCTAAGTCGATTCAGGGTCAGATCCAGGTCCAGTTCAGGGTCAGATCCAGGTCCAGTTCAGGGTCAGAGCCTCTAATATACTTTACAGTATCCTAATCCAAATTTTAACCAGAAAATCGTTGATCCTGGAGGTCACACTATGGAAATTAGCATTTAAAGTAATAGCTAGCCGCTAGAGTAACATAACCGAGCTTAAGACGTAACCTATGCTCTACCCTGCAGTAGGCTCTAGAAACCCAATTCAAATTTTAACTAGGAAATCGTTAATCCTGGATGTCACACTATGAAAATTAGCATTTAAAGTAATAGCTAGCCGTTACAGTAAGCTAACTGCATTTAAGACGAAATCTGTAGTGCACCCTACAGCATGCTACAGTATTCCAATTCAAATTTTAACCAGAAAATCGTTAATCCTGGAGGTCATGCTATGGAAATTTGCGTTTAAGATCAAGCCAGGCCTGATCTCAACTCGATTGAGAACCTCTGGGGTATCTGGGTTGAAAAAGTTTACAAGAATCGACGCCAATACTCAACCGGATCTCAAAGTTGTTATGCAGAACAATTTGAAACGCATTTTTCTATCCTCAACTGGCTGCAGCTCAACTGGACGCAGCTCAACTGGACGCAGCTCAACTGGCCGCAGCTCAACTGGCCGCAGCTCAACTGGCCGCAGCTCAACTGGCCGCAGCTCAACTGGCCGCAGCTCAACTGGCCGCAGCTCAACTGGCCGCAGCTCAACTGGCCGCAGCTCAACTGGCCGCAGCTCAACTGGCCGCAGCTCAACTGGCCGCAGCTCAACTGGCCGCAGCTCAACTGGCCGCAGCTCAACTGGCCGCAGCTCAACTGGCCGCAGCTCAACTGGCCGCAGCTCAACTGGCCGCAGCTCAACTGGCCGCAGCTCAACTGGCCGCAGCTCAACTGGCCGCAGCTCAACTGGCCGCAGCTCAACTGGCCGCAGCTCAACTGGCCGCAGCTCAACTGGCCGCAGCTCAACTGGCCGCAGCTCAACTGGCCGCAGCTCAACTGGCCGCAGCTCAACTGGCCGCAGCTCAACTGGCCGCAGCTCAACTGGCTACAACTCTTTATAGATAAAAACGTACACTGAAAACGCGCCAATCATCAGCGAAATCTGTCTGATCCAGAAGAAAGCGTTGCGCAAACAGATCGTGAATCCGGTCGGTGTCGTGTACAAGCCCAGACTCGAATCTATTGAAATTATTGAAACGAAAAGCCAGATTGGAGCCATATTGGAGAATCGGTAAACCGTAAACCCATTTAGAGTATCATAGTATCAGAATCCCAAAGTTAGGAGTACTGTAGCTATAGTTAGGAGTACTGTAGCTCGTGTCTTACTGCACTAGATAGCTGTACTAGGTCCCAGAAGTACTGAGAGATTCGTTTACCGGTGAAGCCGATCACAATCAGGTAGAGCAAGCTGAGAACCAGGTCGATGATGTCCAAAAGCGAAAAGGAAACTAAAGTTGTTACTGTATCAGAATATCTAGCCGGGCTTGGCCTGGGTTGGCCTGGGTTGGTTTGGCCTGGCCTGGCTTGGCCTGGCCTGGTCCTGGCCTGGCTTGGCATGACCTGACTTGGCCTTGGCCTGGCTTGGCTTGGCCTGGCTTGGCTTGGCCTGACTTGGCATGACCTGACTTGGCCTTGGCCTGGCTTGGCCTGGCTTGGCTTGGCCTGGCTTGGCTTGGCCTGACTTGGCATGACCTGACTTGGCCTTGGCCTGGCTTGGCTTGGCCTGGCTTGGCTTGACCTGGCTTGGCTTGGCTTGGCCTGGCTTGGCTTGGCCTGGCCTGGTCCTGGCCTGGCTTGGCATGACCTGACTTGGCCTTGGCCTGGCTTGGCTTGGCCTGGCTTGGCTTGGCCTGGCTTGGCTTGGCCTGACTTGGCATGACCTGACTTGGCCTTGGCCTGGCTTGGCTTGGCCTGGCTTGGCTTGGCCTGACTTGGCATGACCTGGCTTGGCCTTGGCCTGGCTTGGCTTGGCCTGGCTTGGCTTGGCCTGGCTTGGCTTGGCCTGACTTGGCATGACCTGACTTGGCCTTGGCCTGGCTTGGCTTGGCCTGGCTTGGCTTGGCCTGGCTTGGCTTGGCCTGACTTGGCATGACCTGACTTGGCCTTGGCCTGGCTTGGCTTGGCCTGGCTTGGCTTGGCCTGGCCTGGTCCTGGCCTGGCTTGGCATGACCTGACTTGGCCTTGGCCTGGCTTGCCTTGGCCTGGCTTGGCTTGGTCTGGCTTGACCTGGCCTGGCTTGGTCCTGGCCGGGTTGGGCTTGGCCTGGCTTGGCTTGGCCTGACTTGGCATGACCTGACTTGGCCTTGGCCTGGCTTGGCTTGGCCTGGCTTGGCTTGGCCTGGCTTGGCTTGGCCTGGCCTGGTCCTGGCTTGGCTTGGCATGACCTGACTTGGCCTTGGCCTGGCTTGGCTTGGCCTGGCTTGGCTTGGCCTGGCTTGGCTTGGCCTGGCTTGGCTTGGCCTGGCCTGGTCCTGGCCTGGCTTGGCATGACCTGACTTGGCCTTGGCCTGGCTTGGCATGACCTGACTTGGCCTTGGCCTGGCTTGGCTTGGCCTGGCTTGGCTTGGCCTGACTTGGCATGACCTGACTTGGCCTTGGCCTGGCTTGGCTTGGCCTGGCTTGGCTTGGCCTGACTTGGCATGACCAGACTTGGCCTTGGCCTGGCTTGGCTTGGCCTGGCTTGGCTTGGCCTGGCTTGGCTTGGCCTGGCTTGGCTTGGCTTGGCCTGGCTTGGCTTGGCCTGGCCTGGTCCTGGCCTGGCTTGGCATGACCTGACTTGGCCTTGGCCTGGCTTGGTCCTGGCCGGGTTGGGCTTGGCCTGGCTTGGCTTGGCCTGACTTGGCATGACCTGACTTGGCCTTGGCCTGGCTTGGCTTGGCCTGGCTTGGCTTGGCCTGGCCTGGCTTGGCATGACCTGACTTGGCCTTGGCCTGGCTTGGCTTGGCCTGGCTTGGCTTGGCCTGGCTTGGCTTGGCCTGGCCTGGTCCTGGCCTGGCTTGGCATGACCTGACTTGGCCTTGGCCTGGCTTGCCTTGGCCTGGCTTGGCCTGGCTTGGCTTGGCCTGGCTTGGCTTGGCCTGACTTGGCATGACCTGACTTGGCCTTGGCCTGGCTTGGCTTGGCCTGGCCTGGTCCTGGCCTGGCTTGGCATGACCTGACTTGGCCTTGGCCTGGCTTGGCTTGGCCTGGCTTGGCTTGGCCTGGCTTGGCTTGGCCTGGCTTGGCTTGGCCTGGCTCTGGACTAGATCTGACCTTGATCTTGGAATTAGCCTGGCTTGGTCTTAAACGCAAATTTGCATAACATGACCTCCAGGATTAACGATTTTCTGTTTAAAATATCAATTGGAATACTGCAGCCTACTGTAGGGTGTACTACAGATTTCGTCCTAAATTCCGTTAGCTTACTGTAACGGTTAGCTATTACTTTAAATGCTAATTTCCATAGTGTGACCTCCAGGATTAACGATTTTCTGGTTAAAATTTGAATTGGAATACTGTAGCCTACTGTAGGGTGAACTACAGGTTACGTCTTAAGTTCGGTTATGTTACTCTAACGGCTAGCTATTACTTTAAATGCTAATTTTCATAGCATGACCTCCAGGATCAACGATTTTCTGGTTAAAATTTGGGTTAGGATACTGTAAAGTATATTAGAGGCTCCGACCCTGAACTGGACCTGGATCTGACCCTGATTCGCCACTCACCATAGTAGTAACCCGTGAAATACGGGCTGTAGTTGTAGCTTTGGTACGGTCCTTCAATACTGTACCGATTCACCCCGGTCATCATCTCGGTCACTTTGTTCTTTTCGAAATAATTCCATTGCGTTTGTTGGTACCTCAGGTAAGTCGTGTACTCGAACCAGTCCATTTTTACCCTAAATCTCAATTTTCTTTTGTTAAACTAAACTGTGACATCCAGATTGCCGAATGCAACGCTCAGAAAAATTTCTAAGCCTTTCAAAAACCGAGATTTTTCGGTGAACTCGAATCGACTCCGAAAAAAAGAGGATTGATAAAGAACAATATCTTTTTTTTAAAGATTTAGCCATCCTGGAACGCACAATTCAAGATAAAAGTGAAAAAAGACATAATTTCGTGCACTAGGTGGCTTGTGTTTATGCTGGGGTAAACAGAAAGAGAATGAACACTCAAAAAATTAAATATGCAAATTTTTGAAATCTAACGTCTGCAAAGCCTACTGTGACATCCAGATCAAACAGAAAAACGATCTGAACCCGAGAAAGTTGGGAAAAAGTGGTAGAATGATTGAGGGAAAAGTTCTGATTACCGTAATCACTTTTTTGCCGATTTTTCAAAAACCCCGCCCAATTAGATATCAAAAACGCGAAAAATCCCAAAACTTTTCCTTTTGATTTAACCAAAAAAAGTCTTTCGCAGGTAATTTTTAAACAAAAAAAAATTCCCGGTGGACTTGAAACTCGAAATTTTTTTTGGACTTTCAAAAATGTCAAAATATTTGAAAACATTGAAAATTGGCACGTTTTGAATGCAAGGAAATGAGAGGAAAGAGGGCTATTATCAATTTAAATCAATTAAAAAACATTTCAGTGTTTTAAAAATAGATTTTTGCCAAATGGAAAATCCCGAAAATTTATCCGAATGATTCCGAGAAATTTCCCCAAGGAAACCATAGAAAAGCCATCGAATTGGGCTCAAAAGATCAAAAACCCATTTCTCTAGCTAATCTTTCATTCAATTCCATCATTTTCACAATATTTCAGACCTCCAGGCTTTCCGCGGGATCGAACCCGGGAGGCGCGAGCCCCGATCGCCTGCCACCAGCCCTCCTAACCGACTGCGCCACTTTGGACCCCTGAATTTTTTTATCCAAATGAATTCGTTTTTTCGAAATTAGTTCTTGTGACTTCCAGATTGCACAATGCACTACGATTTTTCGTTAGTCATTTGTAGAAAACGTAAAAATTCGACGTCAAGTCGAAACGAGCCAAGAATTATGCCCAATTCTGCACAATTGAGTCAATTCTTTCAAAAGTATCTCTCGTGACTTCCAGATTGCACAATCCATTACGATTTTTCGTTAGTCAATTGTAGAAATCGCGAAAAATCGGTCTCAACTCGAAACGAGCCAAGAATTATGCGCAATTTGGCGCAAGTGAGTCGATTCTTTCAAAAATATTTCTTGTGACTTCCAGATTGCACAATGCACTACGATTTTTTATTAGTCATTTGTTGAAATCGCAAAAAATTGGCCTCAACTCGAAACGACCAAAAATTATGCCCAATTCTGCACAATTGAGTCGATTCTTTCAAAAGTATCTTTTGTGACTTCCAGATTGCGCAAATCATCACGATTTTTCATTGGTCATTTGTAGAAATCGCAAAAATTCGATCTCAACGCGAAACGGCCGAGAATTCTGCGCAATTTTGCACAATTGAGTCCGTTCTTTCAAAAGTATCTCTTGTGCCTTCCAGATTTCACAACGGATCACTATTTTTGGTGACCTTTTTGTCGAAAAGCTCAAAAAACCGACGTCAACCCTGAAAAAGCCGGAGTTTGCCCCTTTTTGCGTCAAAATTTACCTGATTTGCGGAAATTTCCCTTCTTTCTCCCGTTCACATAGCAACCCGAGAAAGAACGGTCAAAAAATGGCTACAAATTGAAACTTTGCCCCTTTTCTCTTGGGATTTTTGTGATTTTCGAAAATTTGTTACCTGGGCACCAAATTGGAGGCTTCGGGGAGAAATTCCCCGGAAAAAATGGGGCTTTTGAAAAAAAGAAAAGGAAGAACTTTGAGGTGATGACGAATTTTGAGAAAAATTTAGGGATTTGTTGGTTTTTAGATCTTGAAATTTGCATATTAGCATTTTTATCGAGATCGCGACGATTTCTCGTCGGGTTTTGCAGATTTCGAAAAACTGTTTCATGAAAAGTCAATCCTGGAAGGCACTGCAAATTTCTAAAAAAAAATGGTTTTGAAATTTTGATTTTAAGCCTAGTGTTCCCATGGCTCAATCGGTTAGCGGCGCGGCTTCGAGTCGAGGGGTTGGAAGCCGGTCCCGGGTTCGATCCCCGCCGGTGCACATAGCTTTGCTAAAATTGCTAAACCTGCTGTTTTTCTTGAGGTGATGACGAATTTTGAGAAAAATTTAGGGATTTGTTTATTTTTCGATCTTGAAATTTGCATATTAGCCTTTTTACCGAGATCACGCCGATTTCTCGTCGGCTTTTGGAGATTTCGAAAAACTGTTTCATGGAAAGTGAATCCTGGAAGTCACTGCAAATTTCTAAACAAAAATCGTTTCGAAATTTTGGTTTTAAGCCTAGTGTTCCCATGGCTCAATCGGTTAGCGGCGCGGCTTCGAGTCGAGGGGTTGGAAGCCGGTCCCGGGTTCGATCCCCGTCCGTGCAAATCGCTTTGCTAAAAATGCTAAAATTGCTATTTTTCTTGAAGATTTAGTTCTGATTATTCTATTTCTCTTTTCTCTTTTCTCTATTCCTTCAAAATTCCTTTAAATTTCGTTAATTTCTCATCAAAAAGTCCGTTATTGTCCAAAAATCGAATTTCCATTTAATTTTGTGAGAAACTTTTGCCGAAAAATTCTAATTTACCTGTCGATAATTTGTAGCGAGAAAACGAGATTATTGCTCAGAATGGGATTTGAGAAAAACCCTTTTCCCAAGGTGACAATTTTTTGGCCTCAAACGGGAACTTTTTGAGATCAAGTACGGAAAGATTTTTCTGATTTTTTGAAAGATCTGGAACGCACACTAGCAGATTTTTAAGGAAAACTACCGAAAAATCGTTAAGGTAACTAGGTCACGAAATGGTCGAAAAGAGTGATAGCACCTGTCTAAGCTATCGTACGGTAACAGGTGATAAAATTGAGCTTTTTGGAAATCCTGGAACGCACACTGTAGCTCTATAGTGAAAAATAGTCTGAAAGAGGAAATTTGAGATCAAGGGTTACGGTAGTTTGTCTATGAAGTAAAATCTAGAGCTCTAATACGGTAATCGATAATAAAATCAAGTTTTTCGCAAATCCTGGAATGCACACTGTAATTCTAGAGTGAAAAGTAGCTGAAAAGATGAATTTTTTGATCGAGGGTTACGGTAGTTTGTCTACGGGGTAAAATCTAGAGCTCTCACACGGTAGCAGACTAAACTTGTTGACTAAAAGTGAATCCTGGAAGGCACAAGACATTTCTAGCTTAAAATCTGCAATTTCTAAGCAACTCGCATAGCGCAATCGGTTAGTGGCGCCAGTTGGAGTCGGTTTCTGAGGCCGGTGGTCGCAAGTTCGATCTCGGCTCGCGTCAAACTTTTTCTTTTATCTCAATTTTCTCGATTTTTCTCGATTTTCCCAATTTTTCTTTTATTTTCATTTATTTGTACATTTATTTCAATTGTACTTTTTTTATCACAATTCCATCAAAATCTCGTTCAAAAACATCAAAAAAAACGATAAAAATGGCAAATTTTTGAAAAAAATGAGCAAAAGAGTGAAGAAAATTTCAGAAAAAATCGCAAAAAAGGCAAAAATCGCAAAAAATTGCACACAAAAAATGACCCGTAAATGGAATTTTTAAGAAAGAAATTTTGAATTTTCAAAAAATTTTCTGAAAAAAAACCCGTATGGGAAATCGATTGAAATTCTCAAAAAATTTACATTCAAATGGGGAAATTTGCATTGAAAATATGAAGCTTTTGCATATGCTTATGGCACGAAATAGGAAAACTTTGAAAAAAGTCAAGCTGGACAAGTTACCGTAGTCTGAGAGCTCTTGACAGTTTATTTTTGCAATTGGATACGTAAATAGATTTAAAAATTCAATTTCTGAGGATCCTGGAGCGCACACTGGCTATTGAAGCTTTTAGATTTTGGTGAAAAGGAATTTTTCAATTTTGGTGAAAAGAGTTAAGTAGCTGGTTGAATATTTTGAGCCAAAGTACGGTAACAGGTGATAGAGTCTCATTTTTTCGACGTTCTGGAACGCACACTGTCATTCTACAGTGAAAAGTAGCTGAAACGATGAATCTTTTGATTAAGGGTTACGGTAGTTTGTCTACGAAGTAAAATCTAGAGCTCTAACACGGTAACAGATTCTAAAATTTAGTTTTTTCGACGTTCTGGAACGCACACTGTAGCTCTATAGTGAAAAATAGCCTAAAAGTTGTATTTTGTGATCAAGGGTTACGGTAATTTGTTCACGAAGTAAAATCTAGAGCCCTAATATGGTAGCAGATGATAAAATTTAGTTTCTTAGACGTTCTGGAACGCACACTGTAATTCTACAGTGAAAAGTAGCCTAAAAGATGAACTTTGAGATTAAGGGTTACGGTAGTTTGTCTACGGAGTAAAATCTAGAGCTCTAATATGGTAACAGATAATAAAAGTTAGTTTTTCGCAAATCCTGGAACGCACACTGTAATTCAGAGTGAAAGGTAGCGTAAAAAATGAACTTTGAGAATAACGGTAACTTGTCCATATTTTCATTAGAGTGACTGGATTTTTCAGCAAAATTATCTAAGCAAAATGATCTAAACTTGTGATGGCACGACTCCGTGATGATTTTGATGCCCATTTGCCCCATTTTGGCCGCCCTTTGTCGCCTCGACAATCACTGGAATCGTTGGTGGGCGGTTGCCGTTCACTAAAGCGTTTAGCTGAATATCTTGAAAGGGATACGGTAAGTGATACGGTATTTGGCGATACTGGAAGGCACATAACAATCTTACGATAAAAGATCCATGCTTTAGCTTAAATTTAAAGTAATCATAATTGGTGACAAGAGTTTGGCTGAATATCTTTACACTTGATTACTGTAGAAAAAATCTAATACAATATTTGGGAATGCTGGAACGCACATGACAATCCTATCATAAAAGATTCAAGCTGAGCTCAACTTTAAAGTAATCGTCTAATTGGTGACGAGTTTGACTGAATATCTTTACACTCGGGTACTGTAGAAAAAATCTAATACGGTATTTGGACATGCTGGAACACACATAACAACCTTACGATTAAAGATCCATGCTTTAGCTTAAATTTAAAGTATTCATAATTGGTGACAAGAGTTTGCCTGAATATCTTTACACTTGAGTACTGTAGAAAAAATCTAATACAATATTTGGGCATGCTGGAAGGCACATAACAACCTTACGATAAAAGATCTATGCTTTAGCTTAAATTTAAAGTCATCAAAATTTGTGACGGGAGTTTGACTGAATATCTTTGCACTTGAGTACTGTAGAACAAATCTATTACGGTATTTGGGAATGCTGGAAGGCACATAACAATCCTACAATAAAAGATCCATGCTTTAGCTGAAACTTAAACTAATCATAATTGGTGACGAGTTTGACTGAATATCTTTACACTCGGGTACTGTAGAAAAATTATAATACGGTATTTGGACATGCTGGAACGCACACTCACCTTGCGCCTTTTCAGCTATCCTCAGAATCAACCATCGATAGCAGTCCAAAACTACGTGAAAGCACCAAATCTGAAAAAGACAATGACTACCGTAACCTGGCTGACTACTTACCGTAGCCATGGCCGTCGTCGCATAGAAAATGGTTACGGTGATAAGAATGGCGATGAGGAGAGCCGAGACTTTTGCGATCGGCACTCGCGGGAGCGGTAGACGGGGGAAGTTCGAGGGAGCTTGTAAACCCTCGGTCGTTAAATCGCCTGAAATTGGATTTAGGAATTATGAATGTAGCTAGCTTTAAGTCTAGCACCAGCTACAAGGCTCCAGAGATCTTCCAAGATATTCCAGAGCTCGTAAATCGTAAACGAAAGAACTAACTCTTCCTTTTGCTAGATCCAGCCGTTTGTGGAGACCAGGACTCTGGTTTAGCTCAGGAAATTGCCTTTTGGAATCAAATTGGAACGCACGCTAGCAGATTTTTAAGGAAAACTACCCGAAAATCGTTACGGTAACTAGGTCGCGAAATGATCGAAAAGAGTGATAGCACCTGTCTAAGCTATCGTACGGTAACAGGTGATAAAATTGAGCTTTTTGGAAATCCTGGAACGCACACTGTAATTCTAGAGTGGAAAGCAGTCTAAAAGCTAGATTTTGCGATCAAGGGCTACGGTAATTTGTTCACGAAGTAAAATCTAGAGCTCTAATACGGTAACAGATGATAAAAGTTAGTTTTTTAGACGTTCTGGAACGCACACTGTAATTCTACAATGAAAAGCAGACTAAAAGATGCACTCTGAGATCAAGGGTTACGGTAATTCGTCTATGAAATAAAATTTAGAGCTCTAATACAGTAATAGATGATAAAATTGAGCTTTTTGAACGTTCTGGAACGCACACTGTAATTCTACAATGAGAAGTGGTTTAAAAGATAAACTCTGAGGTTAAGGGTTACGGTAATTCGTCTATCAAGCAAAATCTAGAGCTCTAATACAGTAATAGATGATAAAATTGAGCTTTTTGAACGTTCTGGAACGCACACTGTAATTCTACAGTGAAAAGTAGCCTAAAAGATGCACTCTGAGATCAAGGTTTACGGTAATTCGTCTATGAAATAAAATCTAGAGCTCTATTATGGTAATAGATAGTAAAATTGAGTTTTTTAGAAATCCTGGAACGCACACTCTAATTCTACAGTAATCCATAGTCAAAAAATCCGTAGTCAAAAAAACTCACCCTCAATCGTCAAGTTGATCTTCACCGACGTGCCCACCAGCAAAGCGTACAAGCTAAAGGCGGCCAGGGCAAACAACGCCAGGATTGCTAGCACCTGAAAATCGATCGGTAAGCTTTTGCTTTTGAATTATGAATGATTGGTTGATTGGTTTTTAAATGATCGGTTTTTAAGGGAAACTTAGGCCATTTGAGTTTTCAGCGTTATCATTTGAGATTCGGCTAATCCTAGAGTAAAGCTAGTCTAGACTAATCTAGTCTAATGTAAGCTAGCTAACAAGTACCAATTTGGAGTCTAGACTAGATTCAACCCTTAACCAGCGAGATCAGAAGTTGTTTAAAATCAGCTGATCAGAAGCTTCAGAAGCTTCAGAAGCTGGCTGGATCTAAACCTGGTTAAGGGCTGAATCTAGCTGAATCTAGCTGAATCTAGCTGAATCTAGTCTGGACTTCAAATTGGTTTCTGGGCAGAGTTCTGGCTAGCTGAGCGTAAAGGATTGACTAGAAAGCGTCAACAGTTGCCCTCCAGTAACTTCATCTTATAGAATTATAACTCCATCTCCAATTAACGCTGTTTTCGAATCGGTTTTCAGTTTTTGGCTTCAAGGCCGGTAAAGGGAGATCTGGCTGATCTGGGGGAGATCTAGCTGATCCTGGAGAGATCTGGCTGATCCTGGAGAGATCTGGCTGATCCTGGGGGAGATCTAGCTGATCTGGGGGAGATCTAGCTGATCTGGGGGAGATCTAGCTGATCCTGGGGAGATCTAGCTGATCTGGGGGAGATCTAGCTGATCTGGGGGAGATCTGGCTGATCCTGGGGGAGATCTAGCTGATCTGGGGGAGATCTAACTGATCCTGTGGAGATCTAGCTGATCCTGGAGAGATCTAGCTGATCCTGGAGAGATCTAGCTGATCCTGGAGAGATCTGGCTGATCCTGGGGGAGATCTAGCTGATCTGGGGGAGATCTAGCCGACCTGGGGGAGATCTAGCTGATCTGGGGGAGATCTAGCTGATCTGGGGGAGATCTGGCTTACTTTTAAGCCTCTTTCTTGAGTTCATTTTTCGCAACGAAGCCAAATAGCGACACACAAGGAATTTTTTGACGATAGATCAAAACAAATTAGCTACAATTGTTGTGTGACTTCCAACTAAGAGAAAAAACAACAAAATTATGGATCCGGTCTCTAGAAAAACAAAGCTATCGCGCTGAACTCTAGCATAGCAAGAAAACCCTAGCAAGAAGGACTGTAGACTCGGTGTTTTCGGTGAAAAACTATATCTACTTTATAGCGAACAATAGGAAAATTGAATCACAGAAACAAAACCGCTACAAAGACAATAAAAAAAGCGAATTAAACATTAATCTTTCCAGCGTTACTCTTTCCAGGTTGGACTTCGATGCGATAAGTTTGTTATTTTGCAGACAGAATCCATAATTTTGTTGTTTTTTTCTCTTAGTTGGAAGTCACATAACAATTGTAGCTAATTTGTTTTGATTTTTGAGCAACTAGTTTACAGTGCTTTGCTTTTGATAGAGTTCAGCGCGATAAGTTTGTTTTTCTAGAGACAGAATCCATAATTCTATTGTTTTTTCTCTTAACTGGAAGTCACATAACAATTGTAGCTAATTTGTTTTGATTTTTGAGCAACTAGTTTAGAGTCATTTGCTTTTGATAGAGTTTGGCGCGATAACTTGGTTTTTCTGCAGACAGAATCCATAATTCTATTGTTTTTTCTCTTAGTTGGAAGTCACATAACAATTGTTACAATTAGAAAGCGGCTTAGAAAGGCTTAGAAAGCGAGAAAGATATACTAAGCGCAAGACTATAAATGCCGAAGTTTTTAACTTAATATCTATTACCCAGTATAGATAGCAATCTAGATACCGTTGCTAGTAGCGTACCGTAGCTAGTAGCCTACCGTAGCTAGTAGCGTATCGTAGCTAGTAGCCTACCGTAGCTAGTAGCGTATCGTAGCTAGTAGCGTATCGTAGCTAGTAGCGTACCGTTGCTAGTAGCCTACCGTTGCTAGTAGCCTACCGTAGCTAGTAGCGTACTGTAGCGATGAAAAACAAGACCGTAGAGTTAATTAATTTAAAATAGAGTTAATTCATTTAAAAGAAAGAGAAAAACCGTGTCAGCTGGGTCGAACCCAGATCGTTTGGGTTTTAGGCAAGCACCCTCCCAACTGCACCATAGCAACATCGCTAGCAGCCGGAAAAACTAGCTGTTAACCTGTTAAGCCTCGCTGTTTGGCCTCGTTGTTATAAAACAGTAGTCGAGTTGCCAATTCTCTTCCCCCACGACAAAAGCCCTTTTTTCCGAACGCCCTCTCGCAGCCGCATTAGCTCAGTTGGTAGAGCGTCAGACTTTTAATCTGAATGTCAGGGGTTCGAGCCCCCTATGCGGCTAATCACTTTTTGCGTTTTTGTTTTTTAGGGAAATTATTTGCTGGGGTTCTTGAAGGGTTTTCAAGAAGATTTTTTTGGTTTTAGCTCGTTTTAATGGATTGAATTGGTTTCTAGCAGTTTTTGGGTGAAAATTGGCTCTCTATCAGACAATATGAGACGGGAGAGAGCCAGACTGCTGCCAGGCACAACGATCCAAGGGTAACGTTAAAAGCTATTTTCGAAAAATCTGTTCAATCCAAATTCTTACATGATATCCAACTAAGGCAATCCCAAAGTTTCATTAAAATCCGTCTACTGAAAAAGAAGTAAATAGGGTGAACAGGTTTCAGACAATTTTTCCCCAACAACCAAAAAGAGAAAACGTTAAAATCTGACCAATCCAAATTCTTACATGATATCCAACTAAGAGAATCCCAAAGTTTCATTAGAATCCATCTACTCAAAAAGAAGTAAATAGGGTGAACAGGTTTCAGGCAATTTTTCCAAATTAGGATTCGATACCGCATTAGCTCTGGCACCTCGCGCAGCCGCATTAGCTCAGTTGGTAGAGCGTCAGACTTTTAAACGGAAAGCAATCTGAATGTCAGGGGTTCGAGCCCCCTATGCGGCTAATTGCTTTTTGAATTTTTCTTTTTTTAAAAGAATTATTTACAGGGCTTTCTAAAAGGGTTTTCTTGAAGGAAAAAGAAAATAATCTTTCAGATTCATTCTTAGATTCGATGAAAAAGAATACTGTAACAATAGAGTTAATTAAGAAAGAGAAAAATTGCGGGGGTCGAACCCAGATCGTTTTGGATTGTGGGCAAGCACTGCACCATAGCAACATCGCTATCGGCCGAAAAAACTAGCTCTTAACCTGTTAAGCCTCGCTGTTCGGCCTCGCTGTTATAAAACAGTAGTCCTGTTGGTAATCTTTACCCATTTGGTGTTACCGGTTGGAGTTCGATGAGGTAACTTGGTTTTTCTGGAGACAGAATCCATAATTCTATTGTTTTTTCTCTTAACTGGAAGTCACATAACAATTGTAGCTAATTTGTTTTGATTTTTGAGCAACTAGTTTACAGTCCTTTGCTTTTGATAGAGTTTAGCGCGATAACTTGGTTTTTTCGCAGTCAGAATCCATAGTTTCGTCGTTTTTTCTCTTAGTTGGAAGTCACATAACAATTGTAGCTAATTTGTTTTGATCTATCAATCAAAAAATTTTTCAACTCCTTGTACGTTTCCGTGAAGCTACTGAAAGCTCTCACAAACCTGCATCAACATATGAGGAATTAACAACGTCGGTGTTCTTCTTAAAATGCCGAGCACGTGAAGAAAAACGGCGGTCAATGCCAAAATGACGGCGAAAGCGTGCAGCGAAGAGGAAATCGATGAGACATTCGATGATGGGGTGAGGATGTCCGTTGAAACGATGAAACCCTGAAAATTTGAGGGAATTTTGAGGGAATTCAGTACAATGCGCTCCAGGATGGAAGAATTGCTTGGAAAAACTAGGGCTAAACTTTTACAGGCTCGAGATTTGGGGCCAGTCCTGTAATCTCGGAGTGACTTGGGGAATTGAACCGCTCAGTCTTAGCCAATTATAGAATCAGTGTCCTGTATTCCAGGATGAGTAAATATGAAAAGATTTTTTCGAAAGCCGGTTTTAGCTACGAGATTTTACGCCAGTCCTGTAATCTAGGAATGACTTGGGGATTTGAACCGCTCAGTCTTAGTCAATTATAGAATCAGTGTCCTGTATTCCAGGAAGAGTAAATATGGAAAGATTTTTTCGAAAGCCGGCTTTGGCTACGAGATTTGGGGCCAGTCCTGTAATCTCGGAGTGACTTGGGGAATTGAACCCCTCAGTCTTAGTCAATTATAGAATCAGTGTCCTGTATTCCAGGATGAGTAAATATGGAAAGATTTTTTCGAAAGCCGGCTTTGGCTACGAGATTTTACGCCAGTCCTGGGTCTTTAGAACTGAATATCTTTACAGTACTCAAGTAGAGTCAGGTTTTTGTAATTCTCGTATCCTGCGCTCCAGCTTGGTCAAATCTCAAAGCTCAGCTGTGAAAAAATCCGATAAACAAAGAAAATGTCATGGTAACGCAGCACCGAACTCGACTTGCTATATTTCGACGAGAACTACTGCATTTCAAGTTCTAACGCTAGTGTGCCTCCCAAAGTGAAACTTTGCCCACCTGGTAGATCAAATAGATCACTTCCAGCAAAGCAATCCATATCGACAGTGTTCGTACGTGGGCGTAGCCGCAGAAACGCTCAAAACCGCCGGGTTTCTCGATAAGCGTGTGGCCCATTCGAATCTGAAAATGGAGAATGGAGAATGGAGAATATTGAGGGATATTGAGGAATATTGAGGGAGTTTGAAGGAGATCTTGAAGTCTTGAAGTCTTGAAGAGTGCTTTATTTGCCCCAATTGCTCATTGCACCGATCAATCGGGTTGTGCAAAGATTTTCGACTTTGATTAAGACAAAGAGATCGCGTGAAAAGATAGCCGAGAAGAGAGAGATTCTCCAATTTACGTCATTTCTGTTTTTTGAACTTTCTCCCTTAGCTTTTCCCTAGTTAGCTTAGCCTAGCTTAGCTTAGCTTAGCTTAGCTTAGCTTAACAGGCTACCGAATTTGAAAATGCTTTCCGATTGGTTGTAAAATGCAAAAAGATAGATCTTTTTGATTGATCTTTCCGATTCATCCCTAAACTCGTAAACAAAACAGAGAGCTGTTGCCTTGAAACTGATAAAGTCAAGAGCACTTTTCAAAAGAAAATAAAGAAAATAAGCTCCTAGGTACGGGCCTGGCTCCTGGGTACGGGCCTGACTCCTGGGTACGGGCCTGGCTCCTGGGTACGGGCCTGGCTCCTGGGTACGGGCCTGGCTCCTGGGTACGGGCCTGGCTCCTGGGTACGGGCCTGGCTCCTGGGTAAGGGCCTGGCTCCTGGGTAAGGGCCTGGCTCCTGGGTAAGGGCCTGGCTCCTGGGTAAGGGCCTGGCTCCTGGGTAAGGGCCTGGCTCCTGGGTAAGGGCCTGGCTCCTGGGTAAGGGCCTGGCTCCTGGGTAAGGCCCTGGCTGTTGCCTTGAAACTGATTTTCAAAGAACAATTTTCCAAAAGAAAATTAAACCGGACTTCCTTACTTTCTGTTATTTCGAAATTTTGGTAACTTTTGGCTATTGAAAGCTATTCAACTATTGAACTAGCTGTTGAACTAGCTAATGAACTAGCTGTTGAACTAGCTATTGAACTATTGAACTAACTGTTGAACTAGCTATTGAACTAGCTGTTGAACTAGCTGTTGAACTAGCTATTGAAAATCTACAAAGTGAAAAATGGTAATGACAAAATTGGAATCGAGCCAGGTCAAGTCCAGCCTCGAAAAGCAATAAGCTAAAAAAAATCGTCGTATTGCTTAGAGAAAAAGAATGGTATGATTTAGCAGAGACACAAAAAACGAAAGTAAGGCTTTTCTCGTTTTCTTTTCGTTTCACAACAGCCAAAAAAGCGAGTTTTTCAAGTCACCTTTTGGCAAAAAGTTCACCTCACGATTTTGAGACAAATGAAAAAGAGAAAGGCAAAAAATTTCGAGCTCAGAGTTCATTCTGGATGTCACAAAGCAAGTTGGAAAGGTTTCAGAAAGAGAAATTTAATTTTGTTAACACTGACTAGAGTGGCTCGGCTATTAAAGCAATTTCTAGAGAGCAAATGCTAATTTTGCAAAACTAGGCGATTATTCGGGTGATCTGGAGCGCACACAATGTTGATAGCCGCTTTCGAGCGGCGAAAGTGCTCATAATTTGCTGATGAGCTAGCGTTGGGAAGAAAGTGATCCGGAATTGGAGAAAGTGGGAAGGGGAAATGGGCAAATGAGAAAAGAGCTCGCCGATCTCGCTCGCGAGAATCGCCTGCACTCCAGCAAGGCGATTCTCGCGATTCTCCTCATTCAAATGGACTAAATAGATCGAGAGATAATGAACGACTCAGTCGGAAGCCAAATTCGAGAAATTCTAATAAACACTCGGGTTTTTCCTTTCTAATACCTCCTGTGCTATCCAGCTAAGCCTTTATGCGAATCAGATTTTTCAGACAAGCCCTCAGTCTTTACCAATCGCCACCAACCTGATTCTCAAAAACCACCTGGCCCAAATTCTAATAAACACTCAGATTTTTCTTTTCTAATACCCCCTGTGTTATCCAGCTAAGCCTTTATTCAAATCAGATTTTTCAGACAAGCCCTCAGTTTTTACCAACCGCCACCAACCTGATTCTCAAAAACCACCTGGCCCAAATTCTAACAAACACTCGGGTTTTTCCTTTCTAATACCTCCTGTGCTATCCAGCTAAGCCTTTATTCAAATCAGATTTTTCAGACAAGCCCTCAGTTTTTACCAACCGCCACCAACCTGATTCTCAAAAACCACCTGGCACAAAAGTTCACTTTCACGCGCGTTTTGATATTCTTTAAACAGAATGACATCCAGCTTATGGTTTTCAAATACTTTTGGACCAATTAGTGCACTAGATCGCGTGCGTTTCCACCCAACTCTTACTGCCTCCATCATCAATTTTTCCTTTTGAAAAATTGTTAAAATTTTGAGCGATACGGCCAAAATGTAAGCCAGGATTGGCAGATTTGACTTTGAAAAGTTAAAAGATACAAAAATTCCTGAGAATTTCAGGGAAGAGCGAAAGTGCATTTTGTTAAGTAGTTTTTGCTAGCGTTTTGCGTAAACAAAAATGTTTTACAAGGCCGCCAAACGAGTCGCCGGTGCCAAATATGCACAAACAAGTACTCCAAATGAGATCGCATCAAAAATCAGCGGGTAAGATTGAGCGGCAGGGGGTGAGTGGCTCAAATTGAAGTAGACGATTTAGGACTGACGCCGTTTTTGGGGAAATCTATCACAAATTGGAAAATCTACCGTATTATTCGGAAAATCTGGCTGTCACACAGTTGATTGAGATAACGGTAGCTGGACTCAGTCTTCACTTGCACCCCAGCTTTCAAACAGGATTCAGGACTGGGACCCTTTTTCGGGAAATCTATCACAAATTGGATAATCTACCGTATTATTCGGACAATCTGGCTGTCACACAGTTGATTGATCCCGGTTACGGTAGCTGTGTTCACTTTTTAGACAAACTAGCACCCCAACATGTTTCAGGACTGGACCCGTTTCTAGACAATCCCATCACAAATTGGATAATCTACCGTATTATTTCGAAAATCTGGCTGTCACACAGTTGATTGATCCCGGTTACGGTAGCTGTGTACACTTTTTAAAAAACTGCTGGTGCTCCCCAACATGATTCAGGACTGGCGCCGTTTTTGGGGAAATCTATCACAAATCAAATAATCTACCGTATTATTTCTGAAATCTGGCTGTCACACAGTAGATCGGGATTACGGTAGTTATAAGAAACTTAAAAAACATTATCTAGCACCTCTGGTCCAGTACACCTAATGCACCAGTGCAGTAACCTGTTCATAGTACACTATTGTAGTGGCTAGGACCCTAGAGCCCTGCTACAGTACCCTGTAACCGTCCCAATTGCTCGGTAAAGCATTTTTAGGACGAGTAAACCCTGTGTAAGCGGCCTCTACATGGATAGCGTGCTCAAGCCTAACTTGGGCCTCAAAATGCAGGCTTTGAACTTTAAATTTTATCTCAACCTCCCTCGTGCCTTCCAGAACGGTCATTTTCTTGCTTAACTTCTCTCTTCTACCTGATCCCAAGCCAGCGAGAGCACCGAGCTCGCTTTGTGCTTCCATTGCACAAGAGTTCGCCGTCGATTCGGTTTCATATGAATATTTTCGTAAGTCCTGGCATTCACTGGGGGTTATGGACTGAATCTAAAGGCAAAAGATGAAATTTGAAATTTAAAAGAAATTTACATTTAAAAGAAATTAGCTTTTAAAAGAAATTTGCTTTTAAAAGAAATTTGCTTTTAAAAGAAATTTGCATTTAAAGGAAAGTTGCATTTAAAGGAAATTTGCATTTAAAGGAAATTTGCATTTAAAAGAAATTTGCATTTAAAGGAAATTTGCATTTTTAAAAATTAGCATTTTAAAAAATTAGCATTTAAAAGAAATTTGAAATTGAGCAGAAATTTGCATTTAAAACAAATTTGCATTTAAAAGCCAAAGCTTGAAAGACAAAAATTTGCATTTAAAATTCGAAAATCGAAAAAGATAAGAAAATGGGAATTTGACGAAATCTAGAGATTCTGTGCCTTCCAGAAAGACATTTGGAAATCGTTTTCAATTCATTTTTCTTTATTTAGGGCCATAAACGCCAAGGATCTGGTAAAGCAAAAAAAATCAAAAATTTTAAAACTCTTTTCAAGAAAAATTCTCTATCGGAAAGTTTATTGTGACTTCCAGAATAGCCAAAAAAAGTTTCAAAAACGTATTTCATTTTTGAAATTTCGATTTTTTACAACAGTACCAAAAATCAGAAAATTCTGTACAGGAAAAAGTCAAAAACGATCAAATTCCCCAAATAAAAGTTAATCTATGCGTTCCAGGAAACGCGAAAAGCAATTTTTCAGCCAATTCTAGGAGTTGGAGGGGCAAGAAAAGCGAGAAACTCAAAAGAAACGAGTTCCCCGAAATTCTCCTCAACTTGTCAAAGGGACAAAATACTTTTCTAGGTGAAAGTTGGATACTGGAAAGCACTGAAGCGGAAAAGCGACTTGGAAAAGTCTTTGCCTCGATTTGTGGGTAGAGCCGGGGTAGAGCTCGGATGCATTACCCAACTCAAATCAAACTTTTTTTTATTGGCTTTATTGGCTTTTCTAATTTTGTAAAGAGGTAGGGTGACATCCAGATTCGACGAAAAAAATCTCAAAATCCAATTTGAATTCAGGTAAACCGACTTATTACCATGTACTTCAAATCAGTCAACGAGTTTTCTTTTTCTTTGTTAAGTGGTAGAATTTTTAAGCTCAGTAGCTGGCGTGACATCCAGGATATGCAAAACTGACTTTAGAATGGCATTTCCGCAACAGCTAAAAGATGTAGAGCCCCAAACTTGAAACAAAATCTCCATTTAAACTTTCATTTGTCACTTCTGAGAAACTCAGCAACAAAAGATACTCAAGTGTATAGCCGAATACTCGGCAAAAATGAGAAACATTGTAAAAATCGCATTGGAGAGAAGAGAAATCTTCAATTTCGATGAAATTTCGATGAAAAACCGTCACTTTTCCTCTTCTCCCGATTTTCTCCCAATTTCCTGCCGAAATTTCAAAAAAACATTTCAACAAATGCCATCCTGGAACTCATGTAATCGAAAAATTTTGTTTTTCTGCGTTTTGAAAAAAATTTCTACCCTTAGCGGACTCGAACCAGGGTCCTCTGACTCGTAGCCCAACTCGCTAACCACTTGACCAAAGAGAAAATGTGAGATTTTTATTTTTTGATGACTCACTTTCATAGTGTGACCTCCAGCTTGAACTTTCCGCCATTTACCCCTAGCGGACTCGAACCAGGGTCCTCTGACTCGTAGCCCAACTCGCTAACCACTTGACCAAAGAGAAAATGTGAGATTTTTATTTTTTGATGATTCATTTTCATAGTGTGACCTCCAGCTTGAACTTTCCGCCATTTATCGACCGGTTTTTGGCTTTTTACAAGCACTCAAGGTCAGCCTGAGTCAAAAAAGGCAAAAATTTCCTCCCAAAAACACAATTATATCCGTTTTTTCGCTAAATCGCTCAATTTTTCTTCAATCTTGGCTCCTGGCCAGCGTAAACATTTGGGTTTTTTTAGGAAAACAAATTATTGGAGATGTTTTGAAAGAAATTACTGGAGATGCGGGAGTGATTGGGTTCAGAAACGAGTTGGCAATGAAATTTTAAAAATCGTTGAGTAAATTTTTGTTAAAATCCGATTTTTTGTCGATCCTGGATGTCACAAAAACGAAAAAAATTGTTAAAAAATTGTAAAAAATGAATTGAAAAAAGGCTTGGATCGAGGTTTAAGAATGGAGCTATATACCGATAACGGTAAATGATAAAGCGATTTTAAACTAAGATATGTTAATCCTGGATGTCACAAAAACGAAAAAAATAAGAAAGAAATTAAAGAAATGAAAATTGAAAAAAGGTTTGGATCGAGGTTTAAGAATGGAGCTATATACCGGTAAAGGTAAATGATAAAGCGATTTGAAACTAAGATATGTTAATCCTGGATGTCACAATAGGTGTTGGATGTAAAATTTTGATATGTAAATGCTGGGATTTAGGATTTGTACCATCCAGGATCGAGGTTTAAGAATGGAACTATTTACCGATAACCGTAAATGAAAAAGCGATTTTAAACTAAGATATGTTAATCCTGGATGTCACACTAGGTGTTGGATGTAAAATTTTGATATGTAGATGATGGGATTTAGGATTTGGAATATGGAGTTGAGACTGGGAGATCCGGTGCTGAGAAAAGGGGAAAGAAAGGAAAAGAAAGGAAAAGAAAGGAAAAGATGGGTCGTAACTAGGACAGTGCGGGTATTGTCACCCTCTTCCCTTTTCCCTTCTTCCCTTTTCCCCAGGCTAAAGGAATACGGAATAACAGTTCAAGGATTTTGGGGATTTCGACGTTCACCCCAATTCACACCCCTTTCCGACACCTTTTCGAGTAGTAAATCAAAATTTTGAATATTATGGAGCGCACAGGTTGTATTGAGTAGATATTAGGTACTCAAGAAAGTAAAATTTAATGTGCGTTTTTTTTAATGTAAATTTTTGGCCCACCCGCTCCAACTACCTTTGCCTGTTTTTAAGAATGTGCCCCCCACCCCGAACTTCGTTCCCGGTAGTGTTTCTGTTTCTGTTTCTGTTTCTGTTTCTGAGTTTCTTCAATACGGATTTTTTTACCCTTTTTTTTAAACGTAAAATTGTTTAAATCCTTTCTTTGCAATGCCGTATAATTTTATTTATCGAAATAATGATTAATTTTAGGTACTCGACATAAAGGCAAACGAATGGAGAAACAAGTGAAGAGATGAATGGAGAAACGAATGGAGAAATGAATGGACAAGCTAATGGACAAACGAATGGACAAGCGAATGGAGAAGCGAATGGACAAGCGAATGGACAAGCGAATGAAGAAGCTAATGGAGAAGCGAATGGAGAAGCTAATGGAGAAGCGAATGGAGAAGCGAATGGACAAGCGAATGGACAAGCGATTGACAAGCGAATGGACAAGCGAATGGACAAGCGAATGGGCAAGCGAATGGAGAAGCTAATGGAGAAGCGAATGGAGAAGCGAATGGAGAAGCGAATCGATCGATCAATCGTCTTTGATCAAAGACAATTCTGTTGCAGGACAATGCTAGCCAGAATCTAGATCTTTAAAGACCCTCAATTGCTTGCCAAGTTTAGAGTTCTTCCTTCACAGAGATCAAATGCAGGATTCTGATGATGACAAGGATGAGGATCTTGATGACAAGCAGAGTCACGGCCGTCTAAGACTTATTAATGATGATTGAAGACAAGTTATTGAAGCCAAAGCTCTTCCTTCTCAGAGATCGAAGCTCTTCCTTCTCCGAGATCGATGCTCTTCCTTCTCAGAGATCGATGCTCTTCCTTCTCAGAGATCGAAGCTCTTCCTTTGCAGAGATCGAAGCTCTTCCTTCACAGAGATCGAAGCTCTTCCTTCTCCGAGATCGAAGCTCTTCCTTCACAGAGATCGAAGCTCTTCCTTCTCCGAGATCGAAGCTCTTCCTTCACAGAGATCGAAGCTCTTCCTTCTCAGAGATCGAAGCTCTTTCTCATCCAATTCTCCAGATCTTTCTCCAACAGATTACCACTTCGTTACGTTGTAGACAAAATTTTCAAGAACGAAACCGGTGAAAAATGCTATCAAAGACTTCATCGCCTCTAGACAACCCGACTTTTTTTTGCGGAAGCGATCGAAAAACTGGCTTTTTCTCGCTTAAAACTGACCTTTTCGATCGCTGCAGCAGCATCGCTACTCGTTGGCAAAATTGTATTGATTCTAACGGTTTTTATTTTGATTAATTTGATTGTTTTTTGATAAAAAGACATTTACAAATGAAAATCATCAAGAAAAACGCAGTTATTTACCGGAGTACCTAATAAATTTGAGTTTAAATGTAAATTTTTAATGCGCTAGCAATCGTCTTACTCTAGCAATCGTCTTACTCTAGCAATCGTCTTACTCTAGCAATCAAAGGCTTTTTAGCAGTTTCTCTAAACTTGAACAAGAAGGAAATGGATTTTTTGGAAAATCTGGAACACACAGAGGATAAATGCAAATTTTGGAGAGCTGAAATGGAAATTTTTAAAAGATCAAATACCAGCTTCAAAGATTGGCTTCAAAAAAAGGCGTTACTGTATTATTTTAAAAGAAATAAGACCAGATATGCAAATTATGGAACGCACAAGAGACTCTGAACGATAAAATATCGAGATTAACTATATGTCGTAGCCGTTTACGAAATTCAGCCGACTAAGACTAGCCACAAACGAATGAGGGTATTTCCGGGCATCCAATCAAAAAGTCACCCAAATAAAAAATGTTCATAATACATATATTTTATAATAAATTTTTGAAATTAGCTCATTTGGTTGAGTAGAAAATTTTTTTTGAGCCCCCAAAGTTTAGGTTCAAAAATGGCTATAAAAAATTTTCTACTCAGCCAAAAAGTTTGCCTAACAGCTCATTTTGTAGCCAATTTGATGTAGTTTCTTAAAGTAAAGCCATCTAAAATAATTTTTCGTTGCAGGAAGGAGAAAGAGGGCGAGGAACAAATTCAGGGCAATTTTCAAATGTCCGGTAG